TGGTCACTGGCGTGGCTCCAGCTTTCTCTGTTGACCCGGCTATAGGCTTCCATCCTTGGTTCCCATGTGCTTAGAATTAAAATGAACGCAGCATAACGATGAGGGATATTCACATGGTGCCAGGAAAGGATTGGCTTGTTGCTGAGCGCTGCTTTCCTATTCACTTCTGACAGACTTGCAGGATGAGCAGAGAACTTACTCATAATAGCATGACACACTATAGCGAAATCACTAGAAATACAGTGAAGGTGTTTCATTACATAGGATGAGGTTTATTAAAACAGAGGGACTGGGCCCAGAAAAACAAACGTGCCAGCCAGCCAAGCAGCGCTTTCTCCTTCCTCTCTACTCCTCGTCCCAGCTTCCCCCGCTTTCCTGTCTTAGAGCACAGGCTGTAAGAGGAAAGAGCGCAGTACTGAGGTGACGGGCAAAGCGCTCTTGGATGCAAAAGTTTTCAGTGAGGAAAAAGAGCACTGCTGGGTGGCAGTCACTCCCCAGCTTACCTCCTTCTTGTACTATTATGTGGGGGGTTCTGGGGGTGGAACCCAGAGCCTCGAGCTCCACCACTGAGCCACATCCTGGCTCACCTTGTACCGGTTCTGACGTATAAGAAATGTCCCTGTATCTGCCAATGTAAACCCAGGCCAGTTAGGAGATCTGTAAACTGTTATCTCACCCTAGCCATATCTACACACTGAATTGTAGAGCGGGCTCTTAATCGAAACCTAGACCTCTCCTATGCTATTTCCCCTGTAGCGTCAATCGAGTGCTGTAAAACAAATTTAGGGGCAAGGGGCTTACTACAGTTCTTAAACAAGGAGTATATCTGTCGATAGAGTTCGATCAGAGAGAGAAAACTGACAGCACAGAGGTGGCACACTTTTTTCTAGAAATTTTCTTGCCCCTAGGAACTACTATCATACCAAACCCCAATCTTGTTTTTGTAATTAATTTCCAGAAGCTTTGTTTATGCAACCCTTGCCCAGGATGGCGCTGCCTTTCTGGGAATACTGTGCACTCTGCGCAGATGGACTTCTTCAGCCAGCTCAAGAGCCACCACCACCTGCCTGCTGTCAGCAAGGGGCTAGGTGCAGAGGGACTGAACGCGGCCCTCAGGCACCTCACAGGCTAGCAGGAAATGGACGAGTTCCCTGGGGGAGACAGATAGCACCCAGAGAACAGAGACAGAGGCCAAGCACAAACAAGGTGAGAAGCCGGGGCTAGAAGACAAGGGCTGGAGCTGCAGGAAGGCGACAGTTTCCGCCTTTCTCATCCTTTATTGCCGTAAGAAAAGCCCAATGGCGCAGTTTCACATGCAGAGGGCAGCACAGACGCGGACGCCCCGCCTTACGCGCAGGCTGAGACAGTCACTCCGCCCCACCAGAGCAAACACCACTCCTGTTAACCTACAACACCGTGCTATTTTAATACCTGGGATATGTCATGAATCTGCTGTATAACATTTAAACGATGTTGTTTTTATTTGAAAGTCTTTAAAATATGGGTCTTGACTACAATCGTGAAGGATCGGGTTTATCGGATTGCTACTTTGGTGTATTAAAACTGCATGAGAAAGGGTTTCACTACACAGCTCAGGCTGGTCGGGAGCTCACAGCCGTCCTCCTGCCTCAGCCTCCCCAGGGCTGGGATCGCAGGCGGGCACCATCATGCCAGCCTCTGGCCCCAAGCAATTTTTAAATGAAAGCATTTGGTAAGAACAGACAAATGATAAAGAAATGTCATTGGCTCTGTAATTTCAAAAGACATCTTTAAAAAAGAATTAAAATGTTGTAAAAGATGGAAATGCCGAGCAAGATGGAAGGGAAGCATGAGGGGGATGTCTCCCCACCTACAGCAAACCCGCCAGCAGAGTCCACCCAGAGTAACCATTCTAAAACTCTACACTTTACTTATTTATTTATTTATGGCTGGCTCAGCCCACCCTGAAGGTAGGGCTGGCGCAGCATGTGGTGCTGGGATCAAACCACAGTCCCCCGCGGCTGCCTAAGCTTGCCTAAGTAGGTGCTTTAGACCGATGAGCTATCTCTCCAGTCCCAACTCTGCACTTTCTTGAGGGCGTCTGACTGCAGCAGGAGGCTTGGACAGTGAGCTGTGCTAATTTCTACACAGCTCTTAGCAGAGAGGCAACCACCCTCCCACGCGGCCCAAACCCTGGAGGCAGCCCACGGAACCTGCCCACGGCTCGGGGAGAAGGTCCGGGCACCCAAGGGGTGCGTCCTCTAAGCAGTGGTGATCTGGGCTCTGATCAGGGGCTGCTACTTCTGATTGAGAGGCACAGACAACAGGAGGT